TTTTTTTTTTTTTTTTTTTTTTTTTTTTTTTTTGAGACACAGCCTTGTTCTGTCACCCGGCTGGAGTACAATGGCACGATCTCAGCTCACTGTAACCTGGGTCTCCCAGGTTCAAGCAATTCTCCTGCCTCAGCTTCCCGAGTACCTGGAATTACAGGTGCCCACCACCACACCTAGCTAATTTTTGTATTTTTAGTAGAGATGAGGTTTCACCATGTTGGCCAGGCTGGTCTCAAACTCCTGACCTCAGGTGATCTGCCCGCCTCGGCCTCCCAAAGTGCTGGGATTACAGGCGTGAGCCACCATGCCCAGACTAGAGTCTTTTAAGTAAGTGTGGAGAGGGTCTCATGCAGTTGCCATTTCAAATCAAGGTCTTAGATTTCTGGGTTTTTTTGCATACAGATGGCGGTTTTAACACAAACCAGTTCTGGTCACGTCTGGAGGGGAGGAAAACAACCCACAATTCAAATCTGATTTTTTTAAAAGAGCGAAAGAGATGAATTAGGGATAGAATCCAGGATAGATTGGAAAGGAACTGAATTAAGCTAGAAAAAATACGTACAGGGAAAGGCTAAGGACTAAATCGGAGGTGAGGGGAATTCATGGGCCAAAAAAAAAGCCTATGCTGTTGCATTTTGTAAATGACTATTACGAAGTATTTTCTTTCCTTGATCTCATTTAAAGGTGGTACTTTGGAAAACTTGGCCGAAAAGATGCTGAGCGACAGCTATTGTCCTTTGGAAACCCAAGAGGTACCTTTCTTATCCGCGAGAGTGAAACCACCAAAGGTAAGATAACGAGTTGAAGAAGTTGGCTTGTCATTCAAATCTGTGGACTAGTCAGAGGGGATGAAAGGCTTATCTCTAATGTACAAGGATTTTAAAATGGCACATATCCTCCCTGCCTTATGAGTGGAGTCCTGTTTTCAGTCTTGCCTCCAGGCTCTAGAACTGCAGACAGCACCAAAAGAACTACAGAGGCTCCAAATCAAGACCTTCCTCCTGAAGCAGGCTGGGGGCAGCTTTACTGCTCCGGGCACACAAGATCATAGAATTTTCAGAAGTCCTTTAGAATTTCGATTTTCTGAAACTCTTAGTTCCTCGGGTGCCAGTCATACGGGTTGTTTTTGCTTTCCTTTTGTTTTTTAAATAACTGAGGACTTCACTTCTCTGCCTCCAACTGTTGGACTTTTCATTATTTAACCACTCATTACAGCCCACAAGAGGAGATAGGTCAAGGAAGAAAAGAGTAGGGGCCTCTAGCTTAATCCACCAGATTATCTGTTCCTGTGGAAAGTGTTGTAAAACAGAAGCTTGGAGCTCACTTCTAGAGAAACAAGCCTTAGATTTCTTTTGCACATGCTGCCGCTACCTCCCCGTATGCCCCTGGGTAGAGAAGACAGGGGAAGCAAACTCAGCCGTGCATCGTGGTCCTTCTCTCTACCCTGGAGGGAAGGAGTGTCGGAATTGAGTCTACGCTGTATTATACAACAAGGGTGACTGAACAGTGTGTTTAAGAAAAATATCCAGGAAGCTTTCAGTCTCAAGGGCAGAATTATTTTACTGCTAATATCTTCTGACATTTGCAGGACATCAAGAAGCATCTTCTTCCTGTTACTGAGTGGAGATGCTGTGTGTGTGTGTACATGTGTGTGTGTATCCTTGGTAATTATTAATCAGAGTCAAGAAAATGAGGCCTAAAAAGCAAGCTAATAGTCTAAATGACTGGAGCTGCTAATGCTTTGCTTGTTTACCAGGTGCCTATTCACTTTCCATCCGTGATTGGGATGATATGAAAGGAGACCACGTCAAACATTATAAAATTCGCAAACTTGACAATGGTGGATACTACATTACCACCCGGGCCCAGTTTGAAACCCTTCAGCAGCTTGTACAACATTACTCAGGTAACCTGAATTCTAACTGCCTGCTAACCATGTGGATGCTGGAGGGAGTGGATAGGCCCAGAGCAGGAAAGTGGAAAGGGTAAAACTAATTATGTACAAAATCACTCCTAGAATATGTTTCCTTTGCCAGCCCTTAATGGTGGGACTTGGCTGAATAGGTTCTATTGCTGTTGTTCTGCTGTCCAAAGATCCTATAATATTTTTGTTTCCCAAGTAGAAAGCAATAGGTTAAATTGTAAAAGTTGTTTGTCTTTTTATCTTCATCCTAAAATACTTCAAGTTGTCTTTTCCCATTCCCCCTGCATTGCATATGAGGAAGGAGTCTCTCGGAGGGCGCTTACATGGGGACTCCTACAAGGAATACTGGCTTTCCACCATCACTTTACACTCAGCACTGTTGCAGGAATAGCTGCACGTACATTTCATTCTCATGCAAGCCATTTATCATGTTCCCCACCAATACTGCTGTTTCCTAACTAGACTTAGACTTACACGACCCATAGCTCTTAGATCTATTACGTCGTCTTGTGTTAAATTAAACTTTTAAAACGCACATCAGTCTCTATCCTAACACTCAGATATCACCATTATTTTGTTTCTGAAAACATACAAATATTAGGTGTGCAGTTTATACATTTTATCAAAGACTGTGGTTTTATGTGCAATTGTTAAAATGATTGCTTTCTTTCCTAGATTAGCAAGTATTATATACCACTATATAATACATGTTCACATGTGCCTGTAGATATAGGTGCACATATACAGACACATGTCTATATCCTATTAAGCCTAGAGGTTTTTTTTTTCGTGTGACCCATTTCTCCATTTTCTATTGTTCTCCAGGACAAAGGCAAGACTCAAAAGATAGTGTACGATTTTCTTCTACTATTGCTCTGTGCACAATCATTGAAATATGTATGTATAATTTTTGGCATGAAAAAGCAATCTTTCAAAAATGACAATAAGAAATGTCTGTTGATCCCTGGCACTAATGAACAATAGAACATATTCACAGCACTTGCAGTACTAGTTGATTATGGCATTGGCTAACTTGGTTTATGTGGATTCTAATGAAACATTTGGGAGAAACGGAACAGAATATCTCCCTGAGCTTAAGTGATATACTCAAAATGCCTGCATGTTGTAAGGATTTTTCAAATGCTGAAATATATTTCATTACAGCCAAACATCAGCAGGATCCCCAGGGTTTGGATCATTTGAAAATACTGTGTTCGAAAGGGCACCTTAATAACATTGTAGAGCTGGAAGGAAGGAGGAGATGTGAACAATAGACACTTTTTTTAATCTCGGGGAAAAAAATCCATCTCACGTTAGGCTTGTTTTTATATTGGCTTTCCCTCTTCCCTCTTTCTCTCTCACACAATAAAATGCCTTTGAAATATTGACACATAAATAATTTCCTACCTAAACATCTCAGAGCCTGATTCCATCAAAAAGAAAGGAGTAAAAAGCAAGTTACAGCCCAGCAGCACATCTGCTTTCCCTGGTTCCGGGGGCTGCCGGGAGGGAGCGGGAGGGAGCGGGGGTCTGTCCGCCTCCCAGGGCAGGCTCTGTCAGCTTTTGTCACTCCCTGATTTCTTATTCTTTGTTACCTTTTTTCGCCTGACTGATTTTTACTTGGCATTTAAGTTCTCCTTAGCACTGCCAGACTCTAAAAGGTTATATTCTTTTTAAAAAAGAAGAGAAAGAAAGAAAGAAGACAAAGAGAAAAAAAACCTCCGAGTGATAACTACTTTTTCCCTTTTTTTTTTTTGTAAAGAATACATTTTTTTCACATCTTGAATTTCTGTGAATTTTAGTTTCCATTCTTTCTCCTTTCAAACCAGACACCTAAATTATACATTGAAGACTGGTAAAAGGTGGTTTTTTTTTTTTTTTTTTTTAATGGAAAATATCAAAGCAGCAGCCCAGGAGTATCTGATTTGGTGGAATGGAATCAGTTAGAAAGCCAAAGAAATCACTAAAAAAAGTGACTTCTTTTTTTTCCCCATCACTTACAATCTTCAGCCTTACTAGTTTATGACAGTTTAATGTTCTGTAGAAGAATCCTCCACTAAAGTTATAATTTTAAATATAGTCATGTAGACAGATCCCTAATCCCCTGGGTAATCTAGATACTAAAGGTGGGGAGGAACAGTCATGTTGACATTCTTTAATCCAAAACCATTTTTTGAAATTAGTAAGGATGCTTTCAGCATTCCCAAAAACATGTTATGAGCACATTGAGCTGAAAACGTTTTTCTTACCCAGTGAGTACAGAAACCAAAGCAGCCTGTGTGTATATCTATGTATAGACTGTATCGTACCTGGGCTTATGGAGTAGTCTAAATTTAAAACGTCCTCTATTCTACCTCCAATGAAAATGTTTCTGTGTGTGGCATCTGATCTTCCACCGTGTGTGTGGTCGTCTGCTGGTGTAGCGCTGTGTGCTGCTGGTGTTCCACAATGTGTGTGGTCGTCTGCTGGTGTAGCACTGTTTGAGGAGCACTGTGCGCCGCTCGTGTGGGTTTACACTTAGGAGTGTTGTCATTACATGTGTTCTGCTCTTCTCTCCCTCTCCTGCCCCTGCCCTGCTCCATCAGAGAGAGCTGCAGGTCTCTGCTGCCGCCTAGTAGTTCCCTGTCACAAAGGGATGCCAAGGCTTACCGATCTGTCTGTCAAAACCAAAGATGTCTGGGAAATCCCTCGAGAATCCCTGCAGTTGATCAAGAGACTGGGAAATGGGCAGTTTGGGGAAGTATGGATGGGTATGCTGAGACTCAATTACTCTATTATTAGCTTCCCCGTTTGGGAAATCCCAAACACCAAAGATGGAAGGTGAAAATAAAGACTGTGTGACCGGGAAGAAAGTTTGAATTCCTAATAGTGGGGAATAATAATTTCAATTTTGGTTTTAACATTCTGGAATTTCTAAAAAAAAAGATAGTAAGTGGGCAAAACTGGCAAATGGCTCAAGTTGTACTATTACATGACTCTCAATTCATAAACCAGCAAATGGTCCAAGGAATGTTCCAGCTGCCATAAAATGTCTTGCCCTTCATTTCCAAAAGTAAATATTTGTTAAGTGTCGTCCTAACGGGCAAGTCACCTTCCATCTTTCCTAGTGCATGCGTAATTATGGATTATAAGGACTGTGTTTTCTTTATTAATTCCCTTTCCTGTAGAGAAAGCTGATGGTTTGTGTTTTAACTTAACTGTGATTGCATCAAGTTGTACCCCACAAACTTCTGGATTGGCTAAAGATGCTTGGGAAGTTGCACGTCGTTCGTTGTGTCTGGAGAAGAAGCTGGGTCAGGGGTGTTTCGCTGAAGTGTGGCTTGGTAAGGCAGAGGGCACATTTTGTTTTGGCTGCATCTCAAAGCCGATTAAAAGGATGGTTTTGAACAAAAATGCACACACAGCCATTGGGACAAAGACACTTAACCTGGATAACTAGACAGGCACAGACCATCCAGATTTTCAGAATATGCTGATACCTTGCTGTGCTCATCTGTCCTACTTCATGTGGTTAATTAAGGCACCCGCAGAACAGGAAACCAGTACACTACGAATCTGGTGTTTCCTCTTCCTAAGAAATGGGAAGGTAAGATACTGTATATGGGCAACCATAAGAAAGACCGTGGGCATTTTGCTCAATGGGCCTGGATTTGAATCCTTACTAGCTAATTAACCATAAATAAGGGCATATTTAACTCCTTTAAGCCTCAGTTTTTTCTTCTGTAAAATTGGAATGATACTTTTTTGTTGTTGTTGAGATGGAGTCTTGCTCTGTCGCTAGGCTGGAGTGCAATGGCGTGATATCAGCTCACTGCAACCTCCGCCTCCCGGGTTCAAGCAATTCTCCTGCCTCAGCCTCCCAAGTAGCTGGGATTACAGGTGCCTGCCACCACGCCCGGCTAATTTTTTGTATTTTTAGTAGAGGCGGGATTTCACCATGTTGGCCAGGATGGTCTCGATCTCTTGACCTGGTGATCTGCCCGCCTCGTCCTCCCAAAGTGCTGGGATTACAGGCGTGAGCCACCATGCCCGGCCAGAATGTACTTATTTTATAGGATTATTTCTAGGATTACATGGGTTAATATGTTTAAAGTCCCTTGCAGATAGTAGATACTCAGTAGACATACATACTTCTCTCTATTTGATTGTCATTGATAAGGCTGGCTGCACTGGGCCTTTGTAATTTCTTTTATAGCCCTTTTGGGTCAGTTGCAGCTTTGCTTAGAAACAATTCATGGATTTAGGCCCCACTCAAAAACCTGTTTCAGTGAAACAATATTGATACTTATGGAATCCTCCATCTTCCTTCCTCAGAGCTCATTCAAAACAGTATTGATCAGTACCCTTTGCTATGTGTGGGTACAGATCTTTAGGTGTAGTCTGCATTAAAAGAGTTAATACAGGTGGCCAGACGCAGTGACTCATGCCTGTAATCCCAGCACTTTGGGATGCCAAGGCAGGTAGATCCCCTGAGGTCAGGAGTTCGAGACCAGCCTGACCAACATGGAGAAACCCTGCCTCTACTAAAAATGCAAAATTAGCTGGGCATGGTGTCACATGCCTGTAATCCCAGCTACTCGGGAGGCTGAGGCAGGAGAATCGCTTGAACCTGGGAGGCAGAGGTTACGGTGAGTAGAGATCGTGCCATTGCACTCCAGCCTGGGCAATAAAAGCGAAACTCCGTCTCAAGAAAAAAAAAAAAAAAGAGTTAATACAGTTAAAGCACTTAAAACATATAGCCCAGCAAGTGATAAGTACTACAAAGATATATGTAGGTAAGTAGGTGGATAAATAGGTAATAGACAGACATACACATATATATGTATGAGTTAGCTAGTTTAATAAATCCACAGTATTGTGTCCATCTCTCTCTGGACTTTATCTCAAGTATCATAAAATATATGACCTCCTTCTTCCTCATTCACCCTCGAATAATAGAGGATATTAGTCAAATTACTCACACAATCACAGAGAATTGGACCCTGTAAGAAAATTTGTTTTCAAATTTTACAGATATCAACTTTAAATCATGACATATCCTGTTCACATTTTGTTTCCCAATAAACACAAGATGACATGCCCAGCAGAATTGGGATGGGTGTCTATGCAATTAATGAGGTTTGCATTACAGAGGAAGATTTTAATGTATTTAAAATGTTGGGTGCTGAGTCTTAAATAGCAAAGATCACCTATAAATCACCAAATTTCCCATGAATGCTTAGTGGGCAGATATTTTATGAAGTTTAAATGAACTTTTCTTTAAGCCACTTGTTTTTTCATAATTTATATTTTGTAGGTTGCATGTTGTAATTGTATGAACATGTCTTTAACAGGATAATAAAACTCCAATTTACAGAATCCTTAAATTCCAAAGTCAGTTATATTAAATATAAAAATCTTAATTTAAAGCAGTCTTCTTTTTCAAATAGAAAATAATCTAAATTAGCAGATTGTTTCCCCTTTATACAGTTATTCCTCAACATCACAGGTCTAATAATGGAATACACATGGAACCTAGGTGTGGGTTTGTTTTTTTAATGCTGGGCTGAAAGAGACCCAAAAGATAATCCAATTCCATTCCTGTATTTTACAGATGAGGTTAACTGATGACAATCATAATCCAGGCCTTGCCTTCAGATTTGCTAGGTTTTCTTTAACATGCTAAATTTAAATATCTCTGTTCCCTCTCAGCTGCTGTTTAATTTCCCCTGTCTACCTACCTGATGGAAGCCATTGTTCTTGTGGCTAGCCATCAGTAAAGCTGAGGAATTTGCCTTACCTGGTTGAAGTATTGGCAAGCAGACTGTGAGCTCCTTGCCAGTGCTTATCAGCACGCTCGGCACACCTGTACAAGGACTCAGTCAAGTAACTTGTCCATTGCAGACATTGAAAGTCTAAAGGTAATTTCCAGACATCCTTATGTGGTGCCATATTTTTAAATGGCACACCCCATAAACTTAAATAATCTAATTTCTTCCATGCCCACTGTACTCCCTAAGGGACAGCTATTAGATGGTCAGGCCTGTTCCAAGCCCTGGACTTTCATCACTGTAAACAGCGGTCCAGAGCTTTTGGTATAAATGTGTAATCATATGACTGCACCAAAAAAAGCCAGAGTGGAAAGCCAGAGTGGTATATATTCAAAATTTTAAAACATTTTAATGAATTATAAATTTTAATATAGCCATCCTTGCCATCCCCACAAAGAAACACATTTTTTCTGTTAAAATACTTGACAGAGTCCTTGCAATTGAATGTCTTTGTTCAACAAAAACTGTATTAAGTGTTTTAAATTTAAAATCTAATTTTATGCAAATAGCTGGTGGTCAAAACCCTCTTTTTCCATCAACAGAAGATCTTTGGTTTGACTTCATGTTCTGGGATGTTTGTAGGTACCTGGAATGGAAACACAAAAGTAGCCATAAAGACTCTTAAACCAGGCACAATGTCCCCCGAATCATTCCTTGAGGAAGCACAGATCATGAAGAAGCTGAAGCACGACAAGCTGGTCCAGCTCTACGCAGTGGTGTCTGAGGAGCCCATCTACATCGTCACCGAGTATATGAATAAAGGTTGGGCAAAGCCTCTCCTGTCTCCAGCATACAGTGCCTTAAGGGGTTGTTTGAGGGAGAGAAATGGAGGCTTCTTACTTGCTTCTTTTCTAGTTTCTGCCTGGGTCAAGTATTCCCATTAGGAACCACCAGTTATGCACTCATTAATGAAAACATTTTTAAAAACATACCAACCTTGAGTTTGCCCCGCCCCAAATCCTTGTGAAATGTCAAATGCCTTTTACATGTTATGTGTGTCAGAAATTCAAGCTCCTCTCCATAATTAAAACATTCATTTTTAATATCAGGTGGTACAGAGGGTTATGATAGTTTGCTGTTATTTTGAATGTAGTAGCTTTTGTTGCATTTCCTTTTGGCAGGGCTAAACAATTAATATCAGACACTGCTCTCTAAGCTAAGTTTAGTCTCCATCATTTGAACATCTTATTTTTTTTTCCAGCTCTCTTCTTAGTCAGATGATGAATTACATGCTTTCACAGACCACATTTATTCTCACATTCTCTCCCCCACAACCCCTCTGTCTTTCTAATCAAACCAGCATTGTTGGGGATAAGACCAGAGATCATTTTGTTTTGGAAAAATAGATGAACCAAACAAGAAACAGTCTTGAAAGGCAATACATTGTACATCAGAGGATACCAGTGTAATTTTTCTTTTCCATGTACTTTCTTTTAAAATATAATGGAAATTTTTTTTCTGGCAAACTGTTTTTTGTCCTTTGTATCCAGGGTTATTTTGTAAATAACTTTGTGATTAAAGCATAAAATATCACTGATGACCATCATAAGCCTCCACCTTCTGCAAATGATTATCCCTGCCTTGTTGTGTTATACTAGTGGCTCTGAAGCTTCCAATGTTTTGTTTCAGATGTCTGATTTAAGGCTTGGCTGGCTATGATCTAATTAAGGGGAACCATCTGCCCCGCCCAGATTCTTCAGATTGTCTTTTCTTGATTCAAAATCTGTAAATAAGCTAAGCTACTGAGTCTCAGACTTTACCTTGTATTATTAGAATCACCTGTAGGGCTTCTTAAAACCCAAGTTTCTGGACCCAACCTTCAAAGTTTCTGATTTCCTCGATCTGGGATGGGACCTGAGAATTTGCGTATCTAACAAGTTCCCTTGTGTTGTTGTAGCTGCTAGTCCCAAGACCACAGCTTTGGACCACTCAGCTGGGCTGTATTTTCCCCACATCCATTCTTTGTGCAGGGGTGATTTGAGAATGGGATTGAAGAGGTGCGGTTCTTCATAGGTTCCTCTTTATGACATAAAGGGAGATTGAGTCCCATTTCTTCTAGTTTTATCAAATATATATTGTTGTTCCTAGAAATGGAATTAATGCTGTTTGTTTTTAAAAGGTAAAACTGTTACTTCTCCATGCATATACGTTTTTCTACCCTGCTTTTTTATATAAATCTTCCCCCCCCGCCATGGATGGCATTATTCCATTTGACTACCTTATTACTTTTAATAAGAAAACCAAATACAGCTCTCCACTGGGAGTTATCTTTCAAAGTAAATTGAAATGATTTTATGTTTTGTTCATAGGAAGTTTACTGGATTTCTTAAAAGATGGAGAAGGAAGAGCTCTGAAATTACCAAATCTTGTGGACATGGCAGCACAGGTAAGCCCTGCAGGGTAACTTGATGTGCCATAGGTTTAATGACGTGTAAGTACATTGGGTCATGGTGTAACATGTCCTGTTCCCTGGGTTTCCACAGGTGGCTGCAGGAATGGCTTACATCGAGCGCATGAATTATATCCATAGAGATCTGCGATCAGCAAACATTCTAGTGGGGAATGGACTCATATGCAAGATTGCTGATTTCGGATTGGCCCGATTGATCGAAGACAATGAGTACACAGCAAGACAAGGTGGGCACTTGAATGACAATGGCTCGTGATCACAGCCATGAGAACAGTCACTTACCGCACGGCCCTTCCTTCCTCCTTACCTTCCCTTCCTTCAGAAAATACCTGAAATGTCATTCGTCAGCTGGGTTTGGACTCCTTGATCTGGCAGGAATTTGACAGCTCTGCAGGTGGGAGACTGTTGTGGGCCGAGTGGAGGAATGAGATATTGGTTTTTGGTGGGTGGGTGGGTGGGTATTGGTATTTGCTGCTGTGGTCCTCTTGGCTCATGCTGGTCTCCTCACAGCATCTAGGCCTAGGATACTCTGGTTTTGGAGAAAGAAGGCTGGGGAAAGCCAAGGGATCATCAAGTTTTAGTTCATCGTTCAATCAGTCTGTGTCCTAGCAGAAAGCAGAAGGCATGTTCAAATTAGAGAAGTTAAGAAATGAGTTTTTTACAAAGGTATAGGCAGGGTTTCAGAAAGCCAACAGAGCATGGTGCAGTATCTCGGAGCCTGTAACAGCAACAGAACCAAAGCCTCAAAGGCAAGGGGGCAGAGAAGTGGGCACAAGAAGTCAGAATAGACCACTGCACAGAGAGGGCCTCCTCAGTAGAGAGAGATGGCAGGAATGGATCTGGGGACTCATACCCAACCCCACTCTTTAGCCCACTTCCAGGTCTTCTACCAGACCCAACCAGAAGTAGAGGTCACAGGAACTCAGGGATGAATCCTTATGGGTCCAGAGCAGGGAGAGGGAGAGTGGAGAGAGGAGTTAGAAAGACTATAGATGGTAACAGCATAGTTCCTCGAAAATCTCCACCTCCTTTCATCATCTCCTTCATCCCACCCTCTGCAAAAATTTCTATCAATTAGCCTTTAAGTGAAATATATCAATTCAGCAGCCATTCCAGTGAGGCGGCTTTTCGGGTGCTATTAGAGCACCAGATACTAGAAAGGAGTTTTTAGGAATATTTTCTTTGTTTCTGGATACTTGCAAAGTGGTCACCAGGTAAAACTGTGGGACTAAGTATGCAGTTTGCAATCGAATATAGGCTCCTCATGTAGAACATAATGTTTATAACTGGAGCAGGGGGGAACTTTCATTGTTGGTATTTTTAACCAAAGCCTAGTCATCCCAAGCAAAGCCGAGCAGTGACTGGAATGTATTACAGGGTGGTGCTTTCTACTGCATTTCATAATGGCCACCTCTGGAGTCCTTTTCTTTCTCTTTCTCTTTCTCTTTCTCCTCCTTCTCTTGCCCCTGTTCCTCCTCCTCTTGATTCTTTAATTTCATGCCAATTATCCTCTCCCTTCATTTGACTCTAAGAATGGAAGCATTCTTAGCAGTCTCAAGTGATGAGGAAAAATGTTAAACTAAGACCCTGGCTGCTACCGATACTGTCCAAATGCTGAATTACATGTCGGTCAGACAGCTCAGCTATTTGAATTTCCCCAACACGTGGCAGTTCTTGTCCTGGAGCCAAATGCCCACACAGCAAGCTTGCCCGTGTGTTATACACACACATACACCCCCGGTGCTGGGCCAGATGGCGTGCTGTATCTCTAATCAAAGGCGCGCTGCAGCTTTGATTGGCACTGGCCGTCCAGAGAGGAATGTGCATGTGATTTTGAGGCGAGGGAGCCGAGAGGACCTGAGTGCCAGTGGATCTGAGACTTGCCCTGAATGAGGGACTTTATCCTGAGGCAAGTCTGTCAGATCCAGCTCCTTAGACTTGGAAGGAGAGTGGGCGAAGGTTGTGAGACATGAATATTTGATTAAGGAAAGGGCTAGAATAGAGCCGTGTGCTCACCCTTCTGTGTGTGAATTGAGTTTTTCCCCTTTTCCTGGACTTTGGACTCTCTGGGGTTTGTGGTTAATGCTCATGAACCATGGGTAAATGAGAAGGTTGCCAGGCCAGGTGCCAGGGGTGCTGTTAACAGTGTTAACAGGGCCTGGGGGTTTAGTCCACACCTTACTCACTGGAGTGAGGCTCCTCAGGCTGTGGCCCTGGGTGATTGGCACCCTCGCTGATTCCCCTCCCATCAGGCTGCTGCCCTCAGCCTGGCCCCGAACTGTTCCTCTGCATTAGCTGTCCTGATTGCCCTTCTGCCGGCTGCCCAGCTCCACCATCGTGTCCCCAGGTGCCATCAGAGCCCCTTTCAAAAGGCCAACCTTGTAGCCTTTGTACTGCATTTCCTTACTTAATTTCCAAATCTAGGGTCCCATCCTTCCTTCTTCAAACATTTTTCTTCTTTCCTCCCTTTTCCAAACACCTTCAAATCCATGCCAAACACTGGAAAGAGAGAAGGAAGAAGTAAGTGAACTGGAGAACTGAACTGGGCGGGGGGAAAGCGAAGCTTGCGGGGGGTCCCAGGATGTCCAAGGAGAATAAAAGAAATGCTGTCCCGCAGCAGAGGGGTAGGAAGTGGCAGAGCCATTTATCAAATACCTTCCAGGTACCAGGCCGGAGGGGAAACGTGAGGACCAGGCAGGGAAACAATAGGAATAGACTCAGAGGGGTTAAGTAACTTCTACAAAGTCACACAGCTAGTAAAAGAGCAGAGCCAGGATTTGAATCCAGATATGGCTGGCCCTGTTGCATCTACCATCTTAAGTTATGCCGACTGCTGCTCATCAAGTCAGTGATACAGACAACTGAAAATCAAGCTGGAGAGGATTAGCCATGCATCCCCTTTCCCCTGTATTTTATGGGGCTGTTTTTAAGGAGCACCTTCTAGTGTGCCTGTGTGAGGGAGTTGGAGAGACCTTCCTTTTCCAGCACGGGGACAACCCAGCTGTTTATCAAATTCCTCCCGAGGGCCCACCCTGCCCCGGCCGCTTTACGAGGCAGAAAGGGCCTGGTGTGTATCTGCTGGTGTACTCTGCAGATGGCATGTGTGCTGCGTGCTGGAGTTTCTGCGGGGAATTAATCAGCTCCTCCAGACAGCTGGTCCGCGTGCCTAATAATATTTGCAAGTCGGGTTTTATGTTACCCACAGGCCACAGCCATGCTGCATCTTGATGATGAGAATGCAGGCGGCATTCAGAAACATGCGCCAAACACAGATATTTTAGGACCATGAATGACAGTTGTTTTCAAAACAGTTGTGAGTTTCCCATCTCAGGGCGCACTGAAATATCTGTCACCCCTCGGGCAGATGAGGTGGCATTGCATAGGGCACAAGCAGAATTGGAGTGTGGAGCCGGGTTCCACAGTCCTTCCTGTGCTCCTTGCTTCCCACCACCCCAGCTACCCAGGACTGAGCAGCAGCCCATGTCAGGGAGGAGGTCAAGGCCAGGCCCTGAGCCTGTGAGGATGGCCTTCCACTGACAGCACTCTAGAAGCAACTAGAAATTTGGAGGGATTGCTTATTCTCTATTACCTGGGCATCTCACTCAGTTACAGCAGATGGTTTTTCTTTAGTTATAAACACTTTGCTAAATTCTGCCCAATCAGAGTCTCTAAATAATGCCAACATCAGTTATTTGAGTGCCTTGTCAATGAAAGGGACTTTATTAGGAGCTACCGATATCAAGAAGCCTAAGACTGCACAGGTCAGTCAGCAAGCATGAGGAGGAACACGTGGGGCATTGTTGAAATCAGATGGAACCAGGTTTGATATCCAGCTGTACCACCTGACGATCTGGGGCCTTAGGCAAGTTATTTAACTTTTGCATACCTCAGTTTACTCATCTGTAAAATGGAAAGACATTTTGTCTGCTGTGTGCATTTTTGCAAAGATTAAGTGAAACAATGCATGTAAAGTGCTTAACAGGGTACCCAGCACATAGTGATAAATGTTGCTTGTTACTATTGGTATATCTGGTACAACACTAAGTTCTTGGGGAATAAACAAATGAGTGAATGGATTGTAGATACAATGGAAAGTCTGAAACACTATTCAGGAAAGGGAGAGAAAAATCAAAGATAATTCCCAAGTAGTCAAATGCAGGTGATCATGAGAATGGCATTACCAATAATAGAAATGAGTGACTTGGGAAGATCTTACCTTCAAGAAAGAGGATACATTTGGGTTTTTATCTATTAAGCTTGAGATGGTTGTGGTGGTCCTCCAAGCCCAGACAAATGAGCTGGGGTGCCCTCACTGGGTGTCACTGCCACAGCTGGGCCCTCAGCCTTCCAGCCGTCCCCTAAGGTCTAGTCACGGCTGCCTCCCTACCCTAGCACTACATCTTCCTCCCGGAATCATTCCAGAGCTCACCACAGGCACCACAAGGAGCTACTGTCCATCTTCTTGTCCGTACACTTCCATACCACACCTGTCTCCTGTGACCCCCGACATAGGCGGATGTCACAAGCCTTGCTTCTGGAAGTTCACAGCCCCTCCGGCCATCACTTCCTTCAGAGATCACACAAGCAGATGAGAAGCAGTGGGAAAATTCTCTGCAGACTCTAGTTTTTTCTTCATGAGCTTTCAGTGCCGACTAATGTTGATTTAAACCTAACAAGTTCAGACAGACGTGGCTGTGTGTAAGCATAACTTCCTTTTGTGGATACCTTTTTATTCTTTATTGAGCTGTAACACACATACAGTAAAATGAACAAATCTGAAGTGTGCAGCCCGATGAATTTTTACATACACGTATGCCCCTGAATCCACCCCGAAGATAAAGAGACAGAATACTTCCAGCACCCCAGAAGACCTCTTATTCCCACTCCCAGTCAGTAACCACCCCCACAAATAGCCTTTTTTCCACTCTTTTCACCATAGATTGGTAAGTTTTGCCTGTAAATGAACATCACAGACATGAATCCTATAGTATTACTCTTGTGTCTGGTTTCTTTCCCATTCTTATGTCTGTGAGATTCTTCCATATTGCTGCATGGAACAGTAGTTCTCTTCATGGCTGGGTAGTATTCCGCTGTACAAATACATCACAGAGCCTCCATTCTACTGTTGCTGAACATGTGGGGTCATTTCCAAACTGGAACTATTATAAATAAGGGTGCTGTGGTGGTACATACATGTCCTCGTCTCTCTGGGCTGTGTTCTCCAGTG